ACAATGGCAAGTGGCTTTGGGGTTTGGGGGGTTTGAAATCGAGGGTTTCTGATGTAGAAATTGAGAGTTGGTAAGAAAGAAGAATTGTTGGGGGTGAAGATGGCTTCAGAGATGGGGAAATTTGGCTGCCTGTTGCTTGACAGACATTGGAGAAAGTTTCGTTCAGCAGAATAAGAAGTAGACACCCATGACGATAAAATTAAAATGACAGAGAAAAATGTGAGGATCGAGGAAGATGAAGATGAACTCCACATTTTTGTAATGAAGAATAGAAAGTTGGAAATTTTTTGAATTGTGATTCCTTTGTCTTGGGGGTGTTTATAAAGAGACAAAGGACGAAAAGACTCTATATTCCACCTCAGTAACCATTTTATTTTTTTTCTGTTTTCTGTTATTAAAATTTAGCTTATAATTTGGAAAGGTGATCTGTGTTTTCTTATTTGTGATTCTAGTTTTTGTTGCTACATGTGTTTATAAATGTAGTATGCTATGAGAGCTTATAGAGATCAGTTATTAATGGAAATGATTTGAAATTAACATAGTACACTCCTTTTTTTGAGATCAAATAAACAAACAAGCATCGTACCACACACAACAGAATAAACAATGGAAACAACATAGTCATTTTAAAGAAGGTTGTTTTTGACGCTTTTTTATAAAAAATTTGTTTTATATTATTCATTTCTCTCGTTTTTCATTTATAATTTTTGAGAAATACAAGTATTTGATAAAAAATGTTCTTGTTTTGAGAAATGTATCTAAATTGAAAACAATAAAATCAAGTTGTTTCTGGACTCTTGTTTTTGTTTTCAAAAGTAGTGTGTTAGCAGTTTCTCTAATCAGTATTAGGATATAAATTAACGGTGAGAACAAGTTTGGTATATAATTATTCATGAATTAGATTTCTACCCATATTTAATTGATGAAAATCAGATACCTCTGTTTTTGTTTTACCATTTTTTTTTCTTTTTTATTTCAATATATAAGAATAAAAATGCGATTTGGAATATATTTGATGGAATATTATCCTCAACTATATTGAAAAGTCAACTTGAAAAATTACCCTACCATGAGTTCATGGTAGACGATACTTTGCTAAAAAAATCATCAGCACTGTTGCCTTCACAAAGAACATGCACGAACGATATTGAACCAAAGGTTTAGCAATATTCGCATTCTTAATAATTCAGGTCCCTTCGTTTAGACTTATATGGAAAATAATTATAATAAAATATTGTGGAGATTTAAAAAAAAAAAAGTTTTAACACTTCACGAGTATAATTTAACTGATCACAATAAATTGCGTAGTTTGAATCCCACTAGTATAGGATTAAATATTTGAATTTCCGCAATCTAATATCCTCGGCAAATAAAACCAAAAAAACGTCTGGATTAAAAAAAAAAACGTTATCAAAATTTAGTCATTAATTACGGTAATACGTATCTAACGAAACTACCAATTAAAACGATATTTAAATCACAATTCATTAATTAACTGAATACAATTCTATGACACGTTCATTCCCCTTCCATTTCCGACGTTTCGTTTCCAACATTTCCATGTTTTTTTTTCCTTATATATATATACAAAAAAAGAAAAGTTACACATACGAAAGAAAATCAGCCAAAAACTTGGAAGTTATTAAGGAGAACAAAAAATGAAGCCTTGTTTGATTCTTGTTCTTCTGCTTTCACTTTCATTAGTAGCCTCCTCTGAATCAACACCCCCTGTAGGTGTGGATGTGGTGGACAAATTTGTTGAGTGCCTTCCCATCCATGCCAATACCACACCTTCCATTTCTCAACTCATCTACACTCCTCAAAATTCTTCCTTTTTATCCCTTCTTCAATCCTACAACAGAAACCTCCGCTTTCTCAAACC